AATTTCTTTAGTAGGGTTGCTTAAGTCGTACTCTCTATTAATGCTATAGGTCAGCCAAATAACTTTTTTTTCAAATTCCATGAGAAAAAGTACTGATTATTTACTCAAACTTATTTTTTCATTCGAACAAAAAGTGCGGAGTGCAGCGTAGGGTTATTTTAAGGTATGCCAAGTAACTTTTTTTAGCAAAGTAACAAAAAAAATTATGAATATTTTCTCAAATTTCTTTTTTATTCGAATAAAAAGAACAGAGTATAGAATAGAGTTGCTTAAGTCGTACCCCAATTAAATTTTTGTCGTTCATTGAATATTTATTCAGTTGACTTTTCATTAACATTTACTATAATTTTTTTATTATTTTAAAGTATTTAAGTTTTTTGAAAATGTGATGATTAAAGCTCCTAGTCGCCTATGTGGTACCACCTGTAGCCTTAGTCCTATTAACTACTAAGGGACTATAAAATTGACCTACGACTGAGCCAAAAATATTAGTAGAAACTTTACAAAAAGCTTTCTTTATGATTACTTTCAATTCTGTTAGTATTTTAATTCTTATAAATTCACTGTATATCGAATTTTTAAGACCCATTTTTGTTCGTGAATAAGCAAAAATCATTTATAACGACTGGCTAAAAATACTGACTGTAATTAAAACAAAAATAACAGTCGAATTTATTTCACAATTACACCAAAAAAATCTTATGGGAATCTAATGGGACTTATGTGTTTTGTTTATAACGACAAACTTTGTGTATAATTTAATTCAATTCATCATGACTATAATCTAAATTTCATCATCATTTCAATAATATATTAATAAAATAATAGACGTTAATAATAGCCATACAATATCGAGAGTCATTGCATTATTAATATGTGTAATTCATTTTAATTTATTTTTATTTGTTATTAAGTAAAGCACTTACATTATTATTGAAGTAAAGTATTATGATTAGAGTAAAGTATTTTTAGATTATACGTTCATATTTTAGGCACTTCAAAATTTTATTTTTAGCAACCGAAACAAGATTCCTATTCTGTCAGACTTTTAATAGTAAAATTTAGAATATTAATTTTAATTTTATACCCAAAACTAAGACCAAAAATTTTATAAATTATTAAAATAAAATAATTTAACATATTTATTTCAACATAAAACAAACATCATATACCAAACAAATATAAAAATCAACTTTAGTGATGAATAAATAATAAACAAAGTTTAATATATTTAGTCATTTACACGTTTTGTCAAAAATCTTGTTTAACTTTTGTGGAACTAATTAATGTGTGAACAAACATAAAAAAACTAGTTGGTTTGGTATTTAGCCTTGAGGCAAGTTACATGAACTTCCCGAAATGTGTAAATAATCGACTTAATAAAAAAAAATGTAAATAATATACTTCATTAATCCTACTTTTAAAAAAAACGATAATAATTTTAGCAAACTTTGACGAATTTTTAAAATTAAACTACTTGTCGTTAGGCCGTAATATTACAGTAAGTTCTATAAGACCATGATGTATATCGCCAAAAAAAATTTCCATGAAAATCGGCTTAAATTTTTTTTTCAACAGTTAATTACAAGAAACGGCTCGGTAGATTTTCACCTAAAATTAATCAGTATCATTCCCAACTAATATCTTCGAACAGTTTTTGATATTTTAAAATCGGTTCGGTAAGATGAGCTTAAATGTCGACGAAAATTTAACACTTTTTTTCAACAGTTAATTACAAGAAAACGGCTCGGTAGATTTTCACCTAAAATTAATCAGTATCATTCCCAACTAATATCTTTCGAACAGTTTTTGATATTTTAAAATCGGTTCGGTAGGATGAGCTTAAATGTCGACGAAAATTTAACACTTTTTTTCAACAGTTAATTACAAGAAAGCGGCTCGGTAGATTTTCACCTAAAATTAATCAGTATCATTCCCAACTAATATCTTTCGAACAGTTTTTGATATTTTAAAATCGGTTCGGTAGGATGAGCTTAAATGTCGACGAAAATTTAACACTTTTTTTCAACAGTTAATTACAAGAAAACGGCTCGGTAGATTTTCACCTAAAATTAATCAGTATCATTCCCAACTAATATCTTTCGAACAGTTTTTGATTTTTAAAATCGTTCGGTAGGATGAGCTTAAATGTGGACGAAAAGTTTTCTTCAAATTACAAAGAAACGGCTTGGCAGATCGTTGCACAAAACTGACAAACGATAGTCCTCACCGAAATACATCAAATGGCTTTTAAATTTCTAAAATCGGTTCAGGCGTTTTTGAGAAAACGTCGATCAAAGTCTAATTTTGACAAATGCCAAAAAGACCAAACTGATTTTTGCAAACTTTGACGAATTTTTAAAGCTGAACCAGTTGTCGTAGGGCCGTAATATTTTAGTATGATCTAGAAGACTATGGTATCTATCGTCAAAAAAATAATCATAAAAATCGTCGAAATTTTTTTTTTAAAAACTTTATTACAAGAAAACGGCCCGGCCGATCTCTACCAAAAACTAATCAGCACGATTCACAACCAATATCTTTCGAACGGTTTTTGAATTTTCAAAATCGATTCAGAATTGCGGGCTAAAACGTAGACGAAAAATTTTTCACTTTTCTGCCATTTATGAAGAAACGGCTTGGCCGATCGTCGCACAAAACTGACAAACAATAGTTCTCGTCCAGATACATCGAATGGCTTTTAAATTTTTGAAATCGGTCCAGCCGTTTTCGAGAAAACGTCGATTTACGGCAAAAAATCTGTTCACATACACACACACAACACACACACACACACACACACATACTTTTTCCAAATTTGGTCTCATTCGATTCAGAATGGCTTGAAAACGTCGAGAAACATAAAATTAGCGAATCGGGTTTTTGATGAAAACATAAACTTCTCCTTCGGGAAGTTAATAATTTTTAATGATTGTATATATTTTGTTAGATAATTTTTTTATCTATATACTTATGCTTCTATCTTTTGCTAATAATATTTCAACTTTAGTAGTTTTTTGTAGTATTCGAATAAACCTCTATTTAAAAAATTTGTGAAATTTTCTTATAAATGATAAAACGTTTTTAATTAAAAGACGCCATCAAAATAATTATATTACTTTATATATTTAGGAGATTACATAATATATATATTTACACTACATATAAACAAATTAATAGTTATCAATATATCATAAATTTTACAATATTATGATATACCTAAAAATAAAAAAAAATTTTTTTTATTAGGTCTGACAGAACAAAAATCTTGGTTGTATTTATTCTGTTGGTTGTGCACCATCACAAAACTTATTTATTTAAATCACCAAAAAGTATCGTTCCTATTACAAAATTAAAACAATTTTTTTCTATAAATTTTTTAAAAATTAAGGAAACCATGCTTTTGTGAATTATTTTGCACTCACATTATATGACACGAAATAAAAACGATCACCTAAGGACTATCATACTGACGAGAAAAAAAATATCAATATTTATTTTATATCATCATTGGCTTTGATAATTAATAAAAATATTTTATTTAGCAAATTATTATTATTTCCAGCTGATGCCAGTATGCCAGCCCTCCAAAAATACATGTGCAATATAACACATCACCATTTGTGAGGAAAACACTGACCAAAATGCAGATTATTAATAATTTAATTGTTCAATAATTGTATTTAGTTGATTTATTTGATAGTTTAAAAAAAAAATTGAAAGAAGAATTTTGGGATATTTATAATACAATAATACGTGTTTTTGGTGATAACAACGGAATTGCCTTGAAATACATTTGTGATAAGATTGTGTTCATTGTAGTCAAAAAATTTAAAGGAATGATAAAAAATAGTATAAACAATATTAAAGTTTAATTCTAGAAGTATCAAGATATTTTATACATTTTTTTTCACATACTATTTTTTTATAAACAAATAATTTTTGAAGACACGTCGTAAAAAATTTGAAATAATTTGTTCAGAAATTTAACCCAATACAAATTTGTTTAGAATATTTTGAGTGTTTGAGTTAGAAAATAATAAATTTAACAAATTTACACAATATACACATTCTTATAAATAATATTTTTGAAACCAAATTTAAATTTCTATTATATTTTATCTATCAAATAAATCAATTACAATTTGTCTTTAATATACATATCACAATGGAGTGGAATAACTTCATATATGTGTTAACTTTTATAATACTGTTGAAATTATTTAACAATTTTTGAAAAATAGTATTGAATATATTTTTTTAGAATTAATTTATTTATTTAATTTCAACAGTATTATATTTTATGTGGTTTTTGGTAAATATATGTTCTCTTCTGTATAAATGTGTAACACCTAATATTTCAGCACTATTTAAAATAATAAGACAAGTGTTTATGCTAAATTGATAAATATATAATAAATATTTTTTTATTATAAAATTATTGAAATATTTCATCAATTTACATAGTTCAAAATTTAGCATAAACACTTATATACAATTACTAGTATAATATTTTGTGCATATATATTGTTCAATTGGAATTTCGATTTTTACTCCAAAATGCTGAGTACGTTAATTACATTAAATTAAATTGAAATAAATTAAATATGTCAAATTGTCTCCATTTTAAATAACAGTAATTTTATTGCTTTTTAGAATTTTAAGTTTTGTTATATTTTAATTTTACTATATACATATTTGATTTTGAAGAGTTGATTACTAAAATCGAAGTTTCCAGAGCATTTTTTTATGACAAATTTATTTATAAGTGTTTTAATTATTTTTTATATTTTAGGTACACATTTCAAAAGAGTATTTACAATTGGAACCCATTGGTTTGGTGTTTGTGTTCTTTTTTGCATTAATTTTGGTGATACAATTTTCGGCTATGTTGTTCCATAGATTTGGAACACTTTGCCATTTCTTGGCTTCAGTTGAACTCAACTGGTATTGCAACAAAAAGGTAAGAAATAAAAAAATTGTATATATATATATATATATATATATATATAGTTTTACACTTTTTGTGATTTTATTTGTAAGACTTTCTCTTCTTCCTATGTACTCTTAATAGTACACCAAGTATTTTTAATTATAATTTTCAGTGCAGGTACTATTTAATTTTTAGTGATTATTTAAATAAAATTCGTTTAGTTTCTGAGAAAAGATTTCTGAGAAAAGATTTAAAAATTAAAGTATCAAATAAATATTTTGTTAAGAAAATTGACAGGCTTCTTAAATCACAAGAATTAAATCATAGATAATAATTGCTATTTAGATAAACTTGAACAATGTTTTTCAAATAGATTAAAGTCTAGTAAAATTTTAAATTTAAATTTAATTCTACTCTACACATTATTACCACACTCTTATTACACGACAAAAATTATATTAATCGATATTTGTAATCTATTATTTGGTCATTGTTTCCATAGAGTCATAAATATTATGGATTTTGAGATTAAATGATCAAATTCAGTTATGTATTTTTGAATCAATAATATGATATATGTATATATATATATATATATATATATATATATTTATTTAATGTAAGATATTTTATCCATACATATGATCAAAATATAATAATATTCATATATTATATATTAAATTTGAAAAAAACTTAGCATAAAATTTCATTAATGAGAATAAATTTAAGGGGGTATTCTAGTGTACAAATTCCAAAAAATCGTTTTCTTTAATTTTTATATTTTCAAACCTTAAATATTCAAAAATATGTGTACGATAGGATTTTTTAAAATTTAAGTTATTTTCGGAGATACAGCTGTTCGACCACAATTGCGAAACTTTTAACGCGTTTTTCTCAAAAATTTTAATACAATGACTACGATTTTTTCGAGATCTACTGAACCGATTTACTTGAAATTTTCGGATTATCTTTTTTATGGACTTCTTTCAGGCATATACTAGCCTCATCCCCAAATTTCAATTTTTTTCTGTTTTTTAAGAAATTGCAGAAACTCAAAAAAGTAATAAGAAAAATTAATATTTTCAAACAGTCGCCATCAAAATAAAAAAATGACTTGATGCTAGTATATTCCATTGCAACATCATTATAAATTAATAATCTTTCTTTTATTCGAACCCAGTCACGTGACCATTTTTAGTATTCGGAGAAGTCACGTTGCCATTTTAAAAATTATTTTAAACATTTTTTCTCACTTATTTTCACTACTCTCGTAACGTAGATAACTGAAGTATGAAAAAAATAACAGTGAAAAAAAAATACTTACGATGATTTAAAATGACCTAAAATCCATGCCTCTAAACTAGAATAACCCCTTAAAAATTAAAATTAAAATATGCATTTCTTTGTACTTAAACAAACTTACTAAAAAAATATGTCAATATTTATATATCCTATTTTTATTAAAGTAAATGCAAAAACTTAAAGCTGGGTTAACATAGCCTCTCAATCTAATCATTTCAAACTTCAGTTTTCAAATTTACGAAAATTAGCAAATTGATTCGAACAAATGCTTTAGATAAGTAACAAGACTCGACTTGCAATAAACATACTAAAAGTGATATTTTTTTTACTAAAGTCAATCATAATGAAAATTGTATAGAATTTTATACAAGACAAAAAAATATGGGCTAAAAACATAAAAATGTGCACTTTTTATCAGTAAGTCTGATAACAGAAAAAATATTTATATGGAAAAACATTTATTGTATTTTCATTGTAATGTTAAAACCATATTCAAGTGACTTTGAAGACTTTCCTCACAAATTAGTATAATATAATCGTATACCGTCTCAGATTTTCATACAAATGTATGAATACCTTAATTATATATATGTATATAATTAATGTAAATTAGTTAACGCGTTGACTTTGCATGGACAGGGTCGCGCGTTCTAATCCCCGCTCTGGCAATCTGACATCGGGCAGCGCGATGTCCATTTTCAATTGAAAATATAAATCAAAATATGTTTCTAATTAAAAATAAGCCCATCTCGGGCACTGCGGTGTGAAATGGCAATGGGAAATCTCTCACACTATTATTCCCTGAATCGAGTTGGAGTTTAACTCAGCTCACGGATCTGCCCTAGGGCAGCACACCGATTATTATTATTATTAACTTCCCGTAGGGTAAGTTATAGTAATCGTCCAAAAATCGAAATCAAAAATTTTTACATTTCTCGACGTTTTGAAGGTTTCTGAACATTTTGGCATACTTCAGAAAAAATGGATGTGTGTGTGTGTGTGTGTGTGTGTGTTGTGTGTGTTTTGTATGTCCGCTTTTTTTCGTCCACGTTTTCGGGCGCACGGATCAACCGATTTGAATGGTTTAAAAAACATTCGATTCCTATTGATAGGGAGATGTGCTGATTAGTTTTTGGCAAAGGCAGGTCAGCCGTTACGGAGATATGGAGCAAAGAGTGCAAAAATAGAAAGCGAATTTTTGAGAGAACGGATCAACCGATTTGAATGGTTTAAAAAACACTCGATTCCTATTGATAGGGAGATGTGCTGATTAGTTTTTGGCAAAGGTAGGCCCAGAGGTTTCGGAGTTACAGAGCTAAATTTAAAAAAAATGGCTGTTTTTGAGAGAACTAAGCGTCCGATTTAAATGATTCAAAGAACTTTCTGCTTTTTTCAACAAAACAATTGATTTTGGAAAAAAAAATTTTGTTTCTAATTTTTTTTCAAAAAATTTTTTTGTAATTTTGGACTAAAAATTCAAAAAATCACCCAAGCTAAGCACAGTCTAAGCGCCACTCTGGTACAAATGTTTACCCAAGTGCGTTTAGACTGTTTGTGTACTGGAGCACTTTTCCAATTTTGTGAAAATTATTGAAAAATGTGAAAATGCCGCCAAGCTGAGCACAGTATAAGTGAAAATATCGCACAGAATTATTTGCAAATGCGTTTAGACTGTGACTATGCGGGAGCACTTTTTCAATTTTGTGGAAATTTGGCAACTATTTTTTTTTTTTAAATTTGATTCGAAATGAAATGACGATTGTTAATGTTCTGGAGGTGATAAATTGATTTATTTATAATTAACTTTCCGTAGGGTAAGTTATAGTAATCGCACAAAAATCGAAAATGAAATTTTTATATATCTTTACGTTTCAAAGGTTTCTGAATATATTGGCATACCTTAGAGAAAATTGATGTATGTGTGTGTATGTGTGTGTGTGCGTGCATTTGTGTGTGTTCAGATACAAATTTTCGTCGACGATTTCGGGAATCGGGATGAAGCAATTTGAATAATTCAAAAACATTTTACTTGCATTATCAAGATGAAGATTTGATGAAATTTTTATGAAATTAGGTCTAGCGGTTTCGGAGATCTAGTAAAAAAAGTAAAAAAAAAATAACATTTGGCGGTCAACAATAATCATTAGACATTAGACATATGCACATCAAATTATCAGATATTTTATAGAGATTTTAACAATGAGTATACATTTTGTTAACATTCCTATGGGTTCCGTACCAATGCTTATGCGTTAGACAGCGACGCGGCGCTTACGCGCTTCGATATTTAGTCTCTATGCATTAAAGCAGTACGATTGCTTTGAAAAAAAGTTCAAAATTTCCAAAATATTTCAAAATAAATTTTCAACAAAAAATTTTGTCAAAAATTTATATAGTTCCTCAAAAATCTATTTTTTTAGAGTAAATTTTTTTAAAAATGTTAATCTTTTCAAAAAAAAATAATTTTTGGTACGGGAAGTTCCAGCAATTTGCCTTAAGGCACGATGCCATGCGCCCCACTAGTTACTATTATAATCTATGTCCTTTCCTCAGGTGGAGGACCTTTCGCAAGACGCGCTCCTCGACCGCAACGCCGTGCAGATCGTGAAGGATCTGCAGAAGCTGCGCGGAATCGACGGCGACTACGACAACGACTCGGGAAGCGGCCCGGACAGGGTAGGCCGACGCCGAACGATACACAATCTGGAGAGGGCGAAGCAGAAGAAGCGGCAGATAGGCACGCTGGACGTCGCCTTCAAGAAGCGCTTCTTCGGAATCAAGGCGGACGGACCAGGTAATAAATGGATAGATCCATAAAATAGATAGTATATAAATAGAAATATATCTATTCATCGAATTAAAAAAAAAGTTAATATGGAAACTTTTTTTATACGATTAGACACTTGATGTGTGTCATCATTTAACAGGCAAACCAGGGAAAACGCAAAAGACACAAAATTTGGCATTTTGGCATTTCAGTTTCGTTCTTACATTCTATTTATATAGTATGTCTTCTTTTTCATTTTTTTTTTTTTTGATAATTAATTATATAAGTATGAAAAAATATTCATTATATTTGACATTATTTTTCTTACTTGGAGGAATAAGCTGAAAATTATTTCAAATATGTTAAAACGTCGACAAAACTATCAATATATATATATCTGTGTGTGAAATATTAAGCCTGAGATTGTTGGTAGTCACAAATTTTATGAAATTTTTATAAACTCTTGAAAATTAGTACTAAAACATATACTTAAAACATTACCCCAATTATATGAATATCATGTAAAGTTGCCTAAGTCGTACCACCGTACTATAAATAAAATCACATATATCTAACTCTCATAATGATGCTAATTATAGAATTATTATTGGGTCGTGAGGTTGCCTAAATCGTACCACTGCCAAAGCCCTACCCAGGCTATATTTTGTTTGAAAATTTTTAATCACATCATCTGGTTCTGCTAAATAGAATCATTTAGGTAAGCAAATATTTTCAATTGCAAGATTTTTGAAGCAGAATTAATTAAAAAGTAAGCTTTTGAGATGTTTCATCTAACAATTTTTGAATCAGTTGTAAACCTTTTATGGCAATAAAACGATCCAGATATTTATTATTTATATTACTAATTTTAATTTCCAATTTTGAAGTTCTACCAACCTAAATCGTACCAAATTTCTTACACGTATTTCATAGAGAGCGTTTTATAGCCTTTGTTCATAAATACAAATAAATAATGAAAAAATATGATTTTCCAAATTTTTACTCAATTTGAAAAACTTTTTGTGAATGGTTTTATCTCCATTCTTTTCACCCAGACTCCATGAATTTATATGCACTTTTTGACATTATTAATTTATTTTAGGTGTTATTTTGATAATTATGTTTGACTTAGTGAATAATTACTAAAAAAAGTTAATTTCAGACTATATTCAACATTGTTTTTTACTAGTAGGTACGACTGAGGTGACAAGAAGCTTAAATCACATATTTTTGAAAATCATAAAAATACAGTCATCTAAATAAATTTTATAAAAATGCCAAATATTTTTTTTAAATTTAATTGTATTAAATATTTTAGAAATATTTCCTTTGGGGGTACGACTTAAGCAACCTTAATTTACATAATTTTTTATTTTTAATAATCTTTGAATATGTGGATATGTATCATTTATAATAGATAAAGAATAAGATAGAATTTTACTGTATCAGGTTCTTGGATATTTTGAATATAAATTATCGTAGAGTCAACTTATACTCAAAAAAAGTCATAAGTTTGACCCTGTCTATCAAAATATAAGGATAAACTAATATTAAGTTCGATTTTTTTGCATTTTTATAAATCATTTTTAAATTATACCTGATTATTGAAATTTTCATATATAATAATTTTTTGTTCTATACTAGAATATGCTGATTGTATATTACTTCATTATAAATTCATTCGATTGAATATTTTATTAAATTTACTTTTTAAGGTATTATATGCAATGCAACTTTGATGCTAAGTTTTAAGTATAAACATAGATACAATTTACATAAAATACGCATTTTTAATTAATAAAAAAAAAACTGCCATAAACAATTAAAAAATCTCAATTATTGTATTGACTGCACCGAAATTACTTGTACTTGAATTTTGATACCAACTTCAATTTTAAATCATTTTTATATTTAGGTACGCCTATATTGTCAAGAAATATGACAATGAGACGAGAAACAATAAAGGCTTTGGAAGTTCGAAGGAATTCAGTGATGGCCGAACGTAGAAAATCACAAATGCAAACATTAGGTGCCAATAATGAATATGGAATCACTGGAGTTGCGGTAAGAAAAAATATAAAAAATCTAAAATTAACAATAAGGGAAAACCATATTATAAATTTTTAGATTTGGTAAAATTTGTCATACAATAATTACTATAGAGAAAAATTAAATCCTTTTAAAAAAAATTACTAAATCAAGGCATATACTTAGAAAACTATATCTTTGCCAATAGTATTCTTTTGTTATTAATTTCTATTTTTTTCTCAGATGAACAATAATCTAGGAGCAATTCCTGCACCTCGTCATCGTATCTCGAATGCAGGTCTTTCGGTAAAAGACATGTTCGAACATCCTGGTGGCCCTGGACAAGTAAATAGGGCCTACGAGCCTAATTTATCCGACGACGAAAGGGCCGATTCTCTGCGATTACAGACCAGGAATCAAGTTACGTGGAGTGCTAACAATAGTCGAATGTGAACGGTTATGTAATTAGTAAGTCTTAATTTATAATTGATAATTGATAATAGTTATTGATGATGTAAGTGAAGGATTGTTAGATTCTCTAAAAGTTGCCAGAATTTGGTAAATTTAAACAAATTGCGGACTTGGTATGCTCAAATGTTGATTTCAGAATTTTTGTTCTTTTAGTTGAATATTTAATGAAGTATAGTCAGGCTCGATAAAAGGTGCCAGAAGTTCACAAATTTTTCTATTCAGACTTGATATGCTCAAAAATTCAGTACAGTGTTTGACTTTGGTTATTTCTATTTAGTAATTTTTTGGTTATTTTTGGGTCAAGGGTTTTATGTTTAGACGAATGGTACACTTTCACTTATTTTAACCAAATATTTCAATATTTTCATTTAATTTCATATTTAAAAAATATAATATTTGACATTTATAATTTTATTCGATATATCTTGATGATGTTCACAATCTACTGAATGTTTTTCGCTTCTTTAGACAGTAGTGTAGGGAAAAATTAAAATTTCAGTAAAAATTGAATAAACGATAAAGATTTTTTTTAAATTTAATTGCACTAAATATTAGAAATATTTTCTTGGTGGTACGACTTAGGAGACTTTGCTCTACCTATTTTAATCCATTATTATGAATATTTACAATTTTTTTTAATGAATTTTGATGAATTTAATTGCACTAAAAATTACAGCATTATTTTCTTAGGGAGTACGACTTAGCTTGCTATACTTGTTTTAAACCAATATTTAATAAATTATTTCAACGCATTTTTTTTAATATTTTCAAATATTTAGTAATGTTTTTCCAATATATCTAATATATTATATAATTTTTTTCCAATATATCTTATAATAATGAAATAGCACCAAAAATTTAACCAATATTTCCTTAGGGAGTACAACTTGGGCAACTTTGCTCTATTTTTTTAAATTTAATTTATATTTTTTTTTCATATACCTTAATGATTTTCATCACTTTCACTCAAATCCAATAATTTAGTTACACTAAATAATTTCCTTATGGGGTACGACTTAGGCAACCTTGCTCCAAGTATTTTGACAAATATTTTTTTATAATTTAATTTCAAATATTTGGATGATGTTTATCAGATCAACTAACAATTACTCAAATTTATCTCTTGAAGATAACCCATGACTACTGTGCAAAATATTCAGGAACATGAATCAGATATATTTATAATTTATGTTATTTGATTACATTTCTACAATATGATATTTTACAATTAAGATTATAATCTAAATCGATTCTACAAATTTTTACATATTAATTTTACTTTATCTTTAATGGGTAACGTGATAAATAGGTTATTTAAAGTCCACAGTTAATTTTTAAATTTGTAAAATACTTAATTTTTGAACTGATTTTCTTTATTTACCATTATAAAAAAATTTCAAGTATTGTTCGCTAATATTTTATCGTTGATAATTCAAAATTTAAAATTTCAAGTTAAAAATCATCCTTCAATTGAAATATTTTTTAATTATTTTTATTTTTTTATATTTTTTACAATTAAGCAACGTTGAGAATATTTTACTTTTTGTGATCAGTTTCAAAATTTGGCATATTTTTACCAGAATCTAACAAAATCCACAAATTTTTAACCCTGTGTATTTTTCGACTTATTACTCATAAGTTAATGTACGTATGTTTAATAATATCTTCAATATATCTTTGATTTAATTTTTGCAAAAAAATATTTTATCAATGATAAACGAAGATATTTGTTAGTCAAACAAATTGTGTTAAATATAATTTTAAATAATAAGAAAAAATATGAATAAGTAGGATTTTTTTTGTATATTTTGTAGAATAATGCCAAAATTAAAATAAATGGCTAACATTGCAATTGTGCAATAAGAATAATAATAATAATAATATGATACTCACATATTGATAATAAGATACCTTAAATATTTTTATTTGACCAGAATTATTGATATTTTTATAAAAAATATTAATTGATACTAATTATTATTTAGTACCAATTATTTTTTTAAACACAAAGTAAAATTTAGTTTTGCCTAAAATACTACAGTTATTATTAGTAAATATCATTAGCGAAAAAATAAAAATTATGTTAGTAACTTTTTTTAGAATTAGTTCTATTACTTTTGTATATAAATTTTTGAAATTGCCAAAACAAATCCAAGACGATTTGTTTTCATTGTGATTTTAATTTATTATTAATATTACTACTTGTAAAATATTTTTATCTCATGACAAAAATACTCAAAATTTGTACATTTGTATCTTAAATTATATTTTGGATTAATTAATTTCGTCAATATAAATATAATAAGTATGACTGCTGTTGTAAAATATGTATTTTATATGTATATTATAATAATTTTGTAAGTACTCGAGTTATTTTTATTATGACGTTATTTTTTAAAGTCATTGTTCCTAAAATGTTTTATCTAATCTCATATAATAGTCTTTATATGGTTATCTGAGAATTTTTTTATTATTATACGCAATTTTTATTGAAGTAATTCGATAAGTATTGAAGATTATGAAAAACGTATTACGAATTAAATAATTGTTAACAAAAGATATATTTTATATATTTTTATGAAAAATTTGAATTTGAAGTGAGATATATTTAATGCATTTTTAATATAAAATTTGAACTTTAATTTTAATATTTTTTGCATTTCTTATTTTTGAAAAGTAATTAGAATTCAACAGATTTATGAGTTTTTTTTTAATAAGATTTCCATAATTTATATCATTTTCAAAATTAAATGCAACCATGCAACCCAATGGTTTTCCTCATCCACATTTAAATTAAATAGTTCTATAAGTTTTTTAATTAAATAGTTCCATTATTTATATTATTTTTAGAACAAAATATTGCCCTGCAACCCAATGGTTTTCCATATCCACATTTAAAAAATTTTTTCAAGGTAATTTTTTTATTACATATTTTTAAGTTATATCTAGCAATTTCAGGATATGGAGAAAACGACTGCTTGATATCAGACTGTCCGAGGTGAGTATTGAACTTGAAACTCTATTGTTACAAGGCTAAAGTGTCTACTATTGAGCCACGACAAAGCAATAATTTTCAAATAAAGTTGCAAATATTATTTGTGTTCAAGAAAAAGCGCCTAATGGTTTTAACTTGATATTCTCAAATTGAGTAAAATTCGTTCGAGAGTGATTTTCAGTCTCAAACAAAATTTTTAAAATACGAACCTCAAAAAAGAAGATTTCATAAATATGATTATGATTTAGAATTTCAATTAAAAATATTATTTTATATTATATAAATCTCCCAATGCGGGACTTTGTATTACGATCAAATTCGCAATAAATAACACAACAGAACCTTATTTATAATCGTTGAACGGATTATAATGAAAAAATTCGATAAGCACCATATTTATTCAGTATTTAACTGTCTTTATACAATAATAAACTTTATCAATGACCAAAAATTGTCTATTATCTATATCTTATCGAAAAATAAAAAATTCGATGGTGTAATCGCAACGGTAAAATTTATATAGGCAATGGGCTATCATTCTTTGGGAAAAATTAGGTTGGAGAGGTTATTTGAATTTTTGGCTGTGAATAGAAAAGAAATATTATTAAATATTATTAATATAAATAAAATATGAAATAGTATGTTTTGTTTGATAAATGTTTAAAGTGTTGTTAGTTTGTGACAAAATGTAGTTGGTATAAGAGTGTGAAATTTAGAACATATTGTGGATTATAACAATATTTAGGTGAGTATTGTAATTGAATGTTGCCTATACAAAACTATAATATATTTTATAGTTTATATATATATATATATATATATATATATATATATAACTTAAACAAAGTTATAATTTTGATGTTGAAATTTATGTGATATGAACATTTTTTACTCTTCTAATAATTTTTAATTTTATTTTTATAATTTGTTTACACCATGGAAACTAAATTAAATTTACTAAAATTTATTATAAACTGTTATTTACACATGGATATCAAAATTTCAAATAAAATGAGTTGTGATAGTATTAATTGAAAAGGCACTTTAATATTTCAACTGGATTATATAATGCACTTGTTAATTTTATGTTATTTAAATTTTCTAAATATTTTTTGTTATATAATTTAAATTCCCGAGATTCGTTTCATTTAAAATGTTTTTTATTTTGTTTTATTTATATATATATATATATATATATATATATATATATATATATGGCAATCAGAAAAATCATATTCGATAAGCCATTGGGCTATAATTTTGATCCTCAAATAAAAATGTTTAATTTAAAATTTAAAAGACCTATGAGAATTAATTTATATTTGTATTGTTCAAAACTGTGTGTTTTGAGTGCGTTACTCAAAAAAATGATAAAATAACAATCAAAAAAATAAAAAATAATGCAGATACTTTATATTATATCTTCCAAAGATATTTAATGGTAAAAAATTAATAATAAATCTAAATATGTTAATACATATATATATATATATATATATATATATATAAATAATTCTTTTAAAATAATGATTCCCAAATTCTATATATTCATCTTTAGTTTTCACTGCATTTTGTTGCAACTGTACAATTTAACATATTTTCATCTGTCGAAAAGTTTAAGCAAATTTAAAATAAAATTGTGAGAGGAAATAAATACTGTATTACACCGAAAAAAATCAGTAAAAATTGTGTATATCTTCAATGATAAATACACAATTTATTAATTTGATAACAATTGAGAGCATTGTAACAAAAATAAAAAACTATGCAAATTGCATTGCATTTACCACAGATATTTACTGGTCAAAAATTAGTAAGAAATCGAGATATATTAATATGTATATAATTCTTTTACCACAACAATTCCTAGAATAGCTGCATTCATTTTTTGTTTTTATTGCATTTTGTTGCAACTTTACTATTTAACATCTTTTCTTCGGTAGAAAAGTTTAAGCAAAATTATAATAAAATTGTGAGAGATATTAAATTTCAAATTACTCCGAAAAAACTTAGTAAAAATTGTGTATATGTTCAATAATGTATACACACTTTATTAAATTGATAAATAATTATTTTTTATTATTATATTAGCCATGGTTGTTTCCGAAGCCAGATTCATCCACGACAGTGACTCCGAGCCAGACGAGAAAGTACCTCTTACATCATATTTAAATAAAAATGGGTAAATTTACTTTCGAAATCAAATTTTATCATACATATATGTATCTTATGCTTTAAATATTTTTTTCATAATTTAGTAAAAATAATGAAGACGAAACGAAAGGTTGGGACGTGTTCGAAGACCCACCGATCAAAAAAGAAGTCGGTTCTTTGGTCAGCACTAGAAAATTTGAGATATTAACTAAAATTACTAAAGTTTTTGCATATATTCTTACATTTGCAATAGTATTAGGGGGTGGTATTATTTCTAAAGGAACTATGTTATTTATGACGTCACAAATCAAGAAGGGACGGAAAATCGATCACTGTAATTTAGATATAGGTAAGAGGAAAATATATATATATATATATATATATATATATATATATATATATATATATATAAATTTTATTGGACTCGCTTACATTGAGCATTTAGCCACCTACAACATTTCATAAAATAAATTTTTAATAACCGGGATTTTTATATAAATGAAACGTGTCATGTCTTAAAAAAATATTTAAGACTTAATATAAATTTATAAATTTTTTTCTTACAAATTTACTATATAAAGAACAATTGTGCCTAGCCCCGTTTTAGTGTTTTCCGCACTCAACAGAGGGTCTACAGTATTAAAATTTTGCACTCTTTTTGAAAAATTGATTTGTTTAGTATAATACAAGTACTTTCAACGTTTAACATTTTTGTTTAATAACCGAGATTTTTATAAAAAATATAAACCAAACGTGTTATGTTTTGGAAAAATAAATTTAAAAAATTACTAAATTTTGTGTTTACATAGTACAAATATGCTCAAGCATGTTTTAGTGTTTTTCGCACTCAATAGATGTTAAAATTTATCACTATTTTTGAAAAATTGATATGATTAATATAATACAAGTACTTTCAATGTTTAAAATTCTTGTATTATATATTTTTGTGAAAACATTAGGAATTTAGTTGAACATCTACTTTATACGGGTATAAAGTAAAATTTGTTAAAATTAGTGAGGTTTATCTTTTTTTATAGATATCATATAATTAGTTAAAAAAATATATTTTACGCTTATATTTTGTTCGCATTTTAATTATTAAAATTAGTTATGTTTATTAATTAGTTAAGTTAAATTAGTCATGTTTATCTTTTCTATATTATATCTTTACTACATTTATATACGACTATTTATATAAATCTTATCTAGAATTGAACCTAAAGGTAAATTTACGTGCTACAGATAGTGGCGCCTCTATGAGGCGTGAAAAGAATTAAAATTGTAGTAATTGAAAATAGGTCGTGTTGCAATTATGTTTTTTTTTTAAATAGTTTAAATTTTTATTTTCAGATCGAAAAAAACAGTTTATATCTGTTTTACCAGAAGAACAGAGATGGGCCTGGGTTTGGGCCCTTATTTTTGCTTATATGGCCCCAGAAATAGGAACTTTTATAAGATCGTGCAGGATATGTTATTTTAAAACTTACAGGAAACCTAGTTTATTTAGATTTTTAGTAGTAAGTATTACTCTTCAAATAAATAGACCCAAATCCATATATAGAAACTAAAAAAATCTTTTTTTCTTCGAAAAAATGTTTATTTAATTTTTTATAAGGGATGATTTTTTTTTGAAGTATTGATAACAAATAAAAATAATATTATTAAATTTATTTATATTTGATTATTTTAAAACTTGGAAAATTTACTTTTTGACTTTATAACTAAACATTTCACAAACATCTAGACGCACCAAAAATTACGTTTGAAAATGCTTCAAAGAAAAAAGAAGGCTTTTAGTTCAAAAATTTGAAAATCTTGGACAAATATTAATTTATTAACAAATTAAAATAATAAAATTATTTTTTCAATTATTTTAGGTTCTTGTTTTAGAAACCCTTCATACTTTAGGAATGGCAATTTTGGTCTTTGTAATTTTACCAGAATTGGATGTGGTCAAAGGGGCTATGTTGACAAATTGTTTTTGTTTTGTTCCATCAATACTAAGTAAATACAGTTAATAAAATTTATCATATATTAATGATAATATGTATATATATATATATATATATATATTTATATTTTTAAATTTTATTACAGGTGTATTATCCCGTAACTTAAACAAAAGACGAGGACCCCTCTACATGAGTTTAGACGTTTTTGCAGTTTGTGCCCAAGTAAAAATATTAAATATTATATAAAATTATTTCAAATAATTATAGGTAAAAATATTTTTAGATTACAGGTTTTGTGGTGTGGCCAATTTTAGAAGGAAAAATGGAATTGTACTTTATACCACTTGCTACAATTTTAATTTCGTGCGGATGGTGGGAAAATTATGCTCTGAATAAAAGCTCGATAGGTAAAATAGAAAAAAATCAAATTAATATTAAGTTCAGTGGTAAAAGTAAATTTTGTTATTTTTGCCAACTGTCTATTTTATAACAAATCGTAATCAAAATTATACTACATTTTTTAACTTCCCGAAGGAGAAGTTTATGTTTTCATCAAAAAATCCGATTCGCTAATTTTATGTTTTCTCGACGTTTCAAGCCATTCTGAATCGAATGAGACCAAATTTGGAAAAAGTATGGTGTGTGTGTGTGTGTGTGTGTGTATGTGTGTGTGTGTGTGTGTGTGAACAGATTTTTTGCCGTAAAATCGACGTTTTCTCCAAAACGGCTGGACCGATTTCAAAAAATTAAAAGCCATTTGATGTATTTCAATGAAGACTATCGTTTCTGAGTTTTGTGCGGCGATCGGCCGGGCCGTTTCCTTGTAAATTGCAAAAAGTGAAAAAATTTTCGTCCACGTTTTAGCCCGCAATTCTGAATCGATTCTGAAAATTCAAAAACCATTCGATAGATATTGGTTGAGAATCGTGCTGATTAGTTTTTGGTAAAGATCGGCCGGGCCGTTTTCTTGTAATAAAGTTTTTTAAAAAAAAATTTCGACGATTTTTATGATTTTTTTTTTGACGGTAGGTACCATAGTTTTCTAGGTCATACTAAAATATTACGGCCCTACGACAACTCGTTTAGCTTTAAAAATTCGTCAAAGTTTGCAAAAATTGGTTTCGTTTTTTTGACATTTGTCAAAATGAAATCTTTGATCGACGTTTTCTCAAAAACGCCTGAACCGATTTCAGAAATTTAAAAGCTACTTGATGTATTCCGGTGAGGACTATCGGTTGTCAGTTTTGTGCGACGATCTGCCAAGCCGTTTCTTTAAATGAAAAAAAGTGTTAAACTTTGTTCGTTCACATTTAAGCTCATCCTACCGACCGATTAAAAAAATCAAAAACTGTTCGAAGATATTAGTGGGAATGGTACTGATTAATTTTAGGTGAAAATCTACCGAGCCGTTTCTTGTAATTAACTGTTGAAAAAAAATTTAAGCCGATTGTCATGGAACTTTTTTTTGCTGATATACATCATGGTCTTATAGAACTTACTGTAATATTACGGCCTTACGACAAGTAGTTCAATTTAAAATTCGTCAAACTTTGCTAAACTTATTATCGTTTTTTTAAAGTAGGATTGATGAAGTATATTATTTACATATTTTTTTTTGATTAAGTCGATATTTACACATATCGGGAAGTTCATGTAACTTGCCTCAAGGCTAAATACCAAACCAACTAGTTATAAATTTTATTTATAAATTTTAATTTATATTCTTATCATCAAATATAAAATTCGTCGTATTGATCAATTTTCTATTTTGCAATATTTATACAACGAATCCAAAATCAAAATTCATAATATATATATATATATATATATATTATATATATATATATATAAGTTATGTACAAATTTTCTTTAATTAATTTTTATTAAATATAGAATTTGTTGTATTTACCCATCATCTATGTTGCAGGATTTTTTCAAATAATCGAAATCAAAATTCATACTAAATTTTATACATTGTTATCAGTTTTCAAAATATTAGTCGTAAATGATCAATTATTTTTTTAGGATTTATACAACAAATAGGAGCATTCAAGGAAAAATTAATCCTAGACAGATATTTCACATACATGTTCGTTTCATTATGGAAATGTTTTACATTCATAAGTTTTGCCATAATTGCTTTGTGGATACAAAATGAAAATATTAAAGATATGTTCACGATGTACAAAACAGGATTTGGTAAAAACCAATATATAATTAAAGAGGTAAGTAAAAATTTTGAAGCATACTACTTAAGCATATTACTTACCACTGTGATTGACGAAAATACTCGTCATGGCTAAATTTTGTGCCATGACGAGTATACACTTCAAGTGTGCAAAACAGCGATCATATGCTTTTTAAATTGAAATTTTTGAAAAACAAAATTTATTTTTAAAATTCCAGTTTTATACAATATTTTGAGGTATAAAATTAGTAGTTGTATGTAGCATTTCACCTTAAGGCAAGTTGCATGAACTTCTAGAAATTTGGAAATAACTTACGTAATCAACTATAAAATAATCATTAAAATTTAAAATATATTTTGTTTTTCTCAAAAATTGTGATTTAATTAGCTAAAAATTATTATTAGGCATGATGAATATACACGTCACTACACAAATTTTTCCTACTTTGCCGTGACGAGTATACACGCAATGAAGAAGACTAATGACAATTGACTAATAATAATACAATTTTACTAATACAATAAATTTAATATAATTTTTTTGAAAACATATTTTATTTTCTTTAAAATTGTAATTTTATTAGTCAAAAATGATTTATACGCATGACGAGTATACTCGTCTATACACATAATTCTGCTACTTTTCCATGATGAGTATACACGTCAATCACAGTAGACTAATACAATTTTGTCTTTTTTCTAATAATTTGGAAAATTTAATACAATTTCATGCCAACAGTTATATACACTCCTAATAGAAAATTTGGGTCGTTTTTCATTTCATACCAAAAATTATATGCACTCCGATATAAAAGTTTAGAATAAAACGATTTTGAATTAGATCTTTCATTATTCTTTGGAAATAAATAGAAAATTTGGGACATTTTTTTGGTTTTATAGCTAGATAAAGAAAAACTAGATAAAATTTACTACGATTTCATGCTAACAATTATATACACTCCGAGATAAAAGTTTGAAATAAAATGACTTTGAATTCGATCTTTCTTATCCTTTGGATTCAATAAATAGAAAATTCGGGACATTTTTTTTTGGTTTTTGTCAAATAACTCACAAATATTCTATGAAAGCATCCTTTTTCAGTTAGATAGGAAAAAACTAGATAAAATTTACTACAATTCCATGCCAACAGTTATATACACTCCGGTATAAAATTTTGGAATAAAACGGCTTTGAATTGTATTGAATATTGTCGTATTTTTGTTAATACATATAATTAGAATAAGATAATAAAATTTATAAATTATTAAAATTTGAAAATATATTGTTCGCGCCATATTGAAGGGTGCGAATTATATTGATATAAACAAAAAATCATCAATCGAAAATCATACAAATAAATCAAGTCAATCAATACGTTATCAAAACCAATATTGAACTTATTATAAATACGAATATAATTTGTAATAAATAGAAAATAGATACATAAATTTATGAAATAAAATGTTTATAACAAATTTGGCCCTTCAAAATTCAATCAAAACAACATTGAAAAAGCATATATTTTGATTTGCTCAAGAATTGTAATTTAATTAGCAAAATTTAATGATTTATGCGCATGACGTGTATACACGTTTTTACCCAAAAACCTGCTTTTTGGCCTCGACAAATATACTCATCAATCACAGAAACTAGTTATACAATCTGAATATAATTTTCTTGTTTTTCGATTATAATTTTGTCATCTTTTTCAGATAAGTAGTAGTAAATAAATAGAAAATTTGGGACATTTTTTTGGTTTTATAGCTAGATAAAGAAAAACTAGATAAAATTTACTACGATTTCATGCTAACAATTATATACACTCCGATATAAAAGTTTGGAATAAAATGACTTTGAATTCGATCTTTCTTATCCTTTGGATTCAATAAATAGAAAATTCAGGACATTTTTTTTTTGGTTTTTGTCAAATAACTCACAAATGTTCTATGAAAGCACCCCTTTTCAGTTAGATAGGGAAAAACTAGATAAAATTTACTACAATTCCATGCCAACTGTTATATGCACTCCGATATAAAAGTTTGGAATAAAATGACTTTGAAATGCATTGAATATTGTCGTATTTATTCGTTAATATAATTAGAATAAGATAATAAAATGTATGAATCATTTCAATTTGAAAATATATTTTGTTTTTCTCAAAAATTGTAATTTAATTAGCTAAAAATGATTTATACGCATGACGAGTATACTCATCAAAACATAAAATTCTGCTTCTTTGCCATGATGAGTATATACCTCAATTACAAAATAACTAATTTTTAGTACATTTTTAATACGATTTAGAAAATACATTCTATTTTTACTAAATTCTCCGCCACTTTGCCTGGACAGTTGAATCAAATTAATACAACTTTTTCGTTTTCTATTTTTTTTATTAAATTTTATTCAGCAAACTCTATGAATTTTGACATTAAGTAGTGAATACTGTCTAATGTATATAAAAATAAGGTGATGTAATAATTTGGGTATATTGTTTTGTTTTTATTTTTTTTAGATAAGTCCAATAGTATCACCATCAGATCCCAACAACGGACAAAGCAAACACCAACTATTTCCTTCCCAAGAAAACGTCATAACATACGTCATCTTTATCCAAGTACTTTCTGCATACTTCAGTTACATTTTTGGAAAATTTGCCTGCAAAATTGTCATACAAACCTTCAGCTACGCAATTCCAGTTTGCCTAACAGTTCCTGCCCTGGTGGCAGGTCTGGTGTCGATGAGCGAATTACGTAATACAGATCCTTGTTATTATCATGGAATTATACCGGATTATTTATTTTTTAATAGTCCAGCTCTGTACTCGTTTTCTGAATATATTACCCAGCAACATGCCTGGGTTTGGATTTGTGGTTGATTTCACAAGTTTGGGTAACTTGGCACATTTGGACGCCCCAGAGCGAAAGATTGGTGCCTACTGAAAAATTGTATGTGACGCCTATGTATAATGGGTTGTTGATTGATCAGTCTTTGGCTATGAATAGGAAAACAAGATGATACAACGGTAAGTAAAAAAAATATAGACAAGCCAAATTTTGTTTCAAAATACTATTTCTATTACTATTGCAGCGTAAACATATCCAAAGGCCGAAAAATATTGACCCAGAAGTTCAACTCCGTAGAAATCGTGTGCAGGAAGATGAGGCTGAAAAAGCACCTTCTGAAAAAACTTCTAGAATTATTGTTTGTGGTACAATGTGGCACGAAACTAAAGACGAGATGATAGAATTTTTAAAATCTATTTTAAGACTAGATGAAGACCAATGTGCTAGGAGATTGGCCAATCAATACTTCAATCACTACGACAATGATTATTATGAAGTTGAAAGTAAGATGATGGTTAGGGTTTATACAAAAACCGATATTTCAGAAAACCGGTTTTCAAATTTTCATTTTATTAAAAAACCGGTTTTACCCGATTTTCGATTTTTATATAGAAAATAAATTTTTGCTCGAATATTCTGTAATTTGTCCGTGAATTTAGTGTATTTAGAGCAGTATTTGCCTGAATTTATTTATTGCTCAATTTTATGGATAGTAAACAAAATTATTTTAATTTTAATTAGTAGAACTAAATAATAATAGTTTATCATGATTAAATAACTTTGAAAATAATTATTCGTTATTCATGCATCATTTTCACATATGAGAATGAAAATATTTTTATGGTAGTGAAAGGAAAGTATTCGAATAAATAAAAATAATACATTTTTAATAAAAAAAATTCATTAAATAAAAAAAAAGAAATATTAGATATACATGTTGATACATATTGTTAATATCAATTTTAGTTTTAAAAACAATTAAGCTAAACTCGGGTATTGCCTGTTTCGAGCAATTTTAATTTATTAATTTTGAACATTCTAATTGTTTTTTTGTTTAATAAAATATGATTTAAAAAAACTGAGAACGTATATTGAATTGCTACTTAGACGTGTCCTTTGTTTACTCACAAAATTTCCTGAAATAGGAAATACTCTTATACTTGCGACCAAATTATGCTTAATTGTTTTTAAAGCCTGATATAATAATTCTAAGTTTTTTGTTTTTTAATTTGTGGCTTCTAGAGCTTAAAACTCTTTTTTTTAAATTTGAGTAGAGGAAGTTACTTCTTCAAGAAAAAGTCACACTGATTTAAATTAATATATACACTAGTATAAAAATTTAAATTATTATATACAAAACCTTTCTGGGGACCATTGCAGACTAAGATATCAAATGTATTGAACCGATATGATTTTAAGAATCAAAACGCTTTCATCTGTCTTTTATATTTGGCTATATTTGTCATTTTCCATTTATACAGTGAAAACGCGCTTTTTTCACTAAAAAAACGGTTTTCGAATTCCATAATTTTCGCCAAAAAACCGGATTTTGAAAACCGACAAACCCTTATGATACGTTTGTTTGTCAAATATCTCCCTTCCGCTTTTTTGCTCTTGGTTTATAATACAAAAAGGCGGAAGGGAGATATTTGACAACCTATTATAAGTAATACTGTGTTTTTTTTCCAGCTCATATTTTCTTCGACGATGCCTTCACAATCTGCAAAGACAACCCTGAAAATACTCAAATCAACTCATTCGTCAAACTTTTAATCAACACAATGGACGAGGCCGCTTCGGAGGTTCATCAAACCCACATTCGAATTAAACCACCAAAAGCATATCCCACACCTTATGGAGGTCGATTAATTTGGACTTTGCCAGGAAAAACTTTGATGATAGCACATTTGAAAGACAAAGATAAAATTAGGCATAAGAAGAGATGGTCTCAGTGCATGTACATGTATTATATGCTGGGTTATAGGTTGATGGACTTGCCGATACCTCAAGAGAAAAGGATCTTTTGGCTAAAAATACTTATTTGTTGGCCTTGGATGGTGATATTGATTTTTAAACCCGCAGGCTGTTTTGTTATTGATAGATTTGATGAAGAGGAATTCTTAATTTGGCAGCTGC